GGATGGTGGCCCGGAAGCCCCTTCCTCTGGGCTGGGAAAGGCGGGATGGATGGTGGCCCGGAAGCCCCTTCCTTTGGGCCAGGAGCAGCAGGACAGAAAGTGGCCCAAAAGCCACTTCCTCTGGGCTGGGAATGGCGGGACAGACAGTGGCCCAAAAGCCCTTTCCTCTGGGCTCCCAGTGGCAGGAGGGATGGTCAGTAAAACTTTTTAATCATTTGACTATTTACTTTGCAGTACAAATACCTAGATAATTAAAATATTTATATTACAACAAGGGTCGGCAAACCCAAATTCAGCTGCCTCTTGTTTTCAGAAATGAAGTTGTTTTGGAATATAGACACCCTCATTCATTTTCATATTTTCTTTGGCTGCTTTTACATTACAGTGATAGAGCCGAGTAGTTGTGACAGAGACCATATGGTCAGCAAAGCCTAAAAAATAGTTACTATCTTGATCTTTACAGAAAAAAAAATTATCAGCCCCTGTGTAATGAGAGCAAAACTAAGCTTAGCACTGATTTAACAGTCTCTTTATGGACGCGACAGTGGTTTGTATTTTACTATCAATAAGATGAGCTATTAAAAGCAAGATGATGGAGAAAAGGCAAAGTCATAAAGGGTTGTCTTCCCCACATTCTCTCACAAAAGAAGAATGTCTGTGCTGAACACTGAGTTTATAGGATTGGGCTTCACCCACTTAACTATTTTTCTTAGTAAAATAAATGACCTATGTTGAAGTCAGAAAACTATGATGTCACCATTTAAAGAGTAGCATGATGCTTGCACCCAATTATATTTTTCTACTACAGTATTAATGTGCCTAAGAAGGAATAAAAATACTTCAAATATTCTTTCAGATAAAAACATAGAAGATATGAAGAAGATGAGCTAGGGATGTAGCCCAAGGACAGTGCTTGTCCAGCATGTTAGACGCCCTGCGTTCAATCTCCAGCACCACAAAAAAAGAAAAAAGAAAAAGATTAAGCTGAGTTTAGGGTAATCTCTGAGATTAAGGTGACAAAGTATATAGAAAAGTTATTCAGTAAGACAGTGAAAACTTTTTGTGAAGGGTAAATAAAAATCTCATCTATGATTTTCATAATTCAGTGTTAAATGCCCAGTTGTAGAGTATGTTACTCGTGGCAACAACTAAGAGCAACTGGCATACAAAGAACATAATTAACAAGTCCATTATGTTGCAGCAACAGTATCTAAAACTATCTGTGGAGTTAGTGCCATATCAATTATCCTGTTATCCTACAAATGAAAAACTGATACAAAGGTACAGTAAGTTGAGGAGAAAAAAAAACTCACCCTTGGTTTTGCTAGGTCTTTGACAATTTCAATTTCTGCATCAGAAATAATATCATGGAAGCGAATAATACGAGGCTTGTCCCACTCATCCTCCTGTTTGGCTGGAGCCAGAATAAATTTAGGATTCCGGTTTCCATCATGGTAGCGGCAAAACAGTTTTTTTTGTCTTCGAGGAGTCTAAACATAAAGAGAATGATAAATATATTAATTATATATACACACACATATATATACACATACAATATATACACATGTACACACATATATGTACATATATGTATGTCTTTGCAGTATGGAGGACTAAACCAGTGGACATTCATGCTTAGGTACAACTCTGGCACTTTTTGTTTTAAATCTTGAAACAGGGTCTTGCTAAGTTGCCTAGGCTGGGCTCAAACTTAGGATCTTGCAGCCTCAGCCTCCCAGAGTTCAGGGATTACAGGTATGCATCACCATACCTGGCTAAGAGTTATAATATTTTTAATACCTATCCCTGTGCAGACACAAAACAATAATCATGTTTGCATATATACAGAATATATTTGGAAGAATAAATAAGCAGTACTCTGCTAATATTTGGTATCAAATAGTTTTCAGGATTAAAAATTTTTATTAATGATTATTTTCTGGGGGAGAGATGGGAGAACAGGGAAAAAAGGTGAGGTTTCTTTTTTAACCCTTCACTCATCAGGAAATAGGAAAGAAACAATGAAAATGGAAATTTGAAATGAATGCCCACATTGTTCCCAAACTTCAAAAAGTAACTGGGAAGCACCTAGAAAAGTGAAAGTTTCTAGAAGGGGAAAAAAACAAAACACCAAAAACAGGTTTCCCTAATATACCTTACAGTTAAATGCTTGTGGTAAAAAAGGAAAAAATAACAACAAAGGTGAAAATGGGTAGTTCCAAAAAAGTGAAAAGTTATTAAAGAAGCCAAGTGCTTTTAAGAGGGAGTATAAAATTACTGTAGCGGTGGTCCACAAAGCAAATAAATGTTCTTCAATCATCAGTTATATAAATGAAATACATTAGTTGACAGCTGGTTCTTCTCTTTGCCATATCCCCCCTCCATGGTGCTGGGAATCAAACCCAGAGCCTGGCGCATGCGCAGTGAAAACTGTACGACTAGGGCCGGGCATTTAGCTCAGTGGTTTCGCTGCCTGCTGTGCAAGTACAAGGACCCGAGTTCGATCTCCGGTACCAAAAAAAAAAAAAAGAGAGAGAGAGAACTGTACAACTGGGATCTATCACTAACCCTGGTATTCTTCCCTTGATTAAACAAGTATGTCATATACAAAGCAGGAATATATTTAGTTTAATTACTAAGTTAATACAATAAATTAAAGATTCATTCACGTTTATTCTCCATACATGCACTTTACCTAGAATCAAACCCAAGGCTTTATATCAAGTAAGTCTTTATACAATGATGAAATGGATTGAACCATTTGAACAGAAGGATGCGCCTCTGATTATGGGCAGAGTTGACATGTGTCACAACAAACTCGTAAACCAGCTGGATCCCATTTTGTACTTATAGTTCTATTTTATTTTCTTTAAGACTTAATAAAGGCAATTTTAAGAATCTGTTTACTGGAAATTTGAACTGAAACTAGTATTAATATTTGTTTTTTTTTTTTTTTTTTTGTCCTACCGGGGATTGAACTTGGGTCCTTGCGCTTGCACAGCAGGCAGCGAAACCACTGAGCTAAATCCCCGGCCCCAAACTAGTATTAATATTATGTTTACATAAGGGGGGGAAATGGGGAAAAAAAGAATAAGCAAGATATATCATGTACTGGTACAAATTCCCTATAATGAATGTTATCATTGTGTATATCTAAAATGTACCAATAAATGTTTTACGAAAAAAAAAAAAAGTAAAATTCAGATGTAAATCTGAGAAAAAAATATGGACTACTGTGAATTTTTTTAGGTGTGATAATGGCCTTTTAGTTATTGTGAGTCCTTACCTTTGGTGGGGGAGTGAGACAAGGTCTTGCTCTGTAGTTCAGGCTGGCCTTGAACTCACTAGGTAGCCCAGGTTGGCCTCGAACTCAAGGCAATCCTCCTGCCTCCGCCTCCCTAGTGCTGGGATTACAGGCATGTGCCACCATGCAAAGACTGAGTCCTTATCTTTATTTTTGTATTGTATTTTATTTTGGTACTGGGGATTGAACTTGGGACCTTGTGCTTGCGGGGCAGGCGGCAGACCCACTGAGCTAAATCCCAGGCCCTGCGGTCCTTATCTTTAAAAGATATACATCTAGTTTAGATTTAGAACTCCCCACACACAAGGCTTGTGTGTTACAGGCTTAGTGACCAGCCTGTGGTGCAGCTGAGGGGTAGCAGAACCTTCAAGAGGTAAGCCTCATAGAAGGCCATGGGGGCTACCCCTTAAAGGGAATACTGGGATTTCTGCCCTAGTGTTTCTCATGAGGTACACAGCTCTGCACCTCACCTGCTGCTCCCCATCCTGGCCATGATGTTCTGCCTCACCACAGACCCAAAGCAATGGAGGTGAAATCACCATGCACTGAGACCTCTGAAAGTGTAAGTTAAAATAAATCTTTCCTCCTTTTAAGTTGTTTATGTCAGGTATTTTGTCACAATGACACAAATCTGACTGGCACATGCTAAAATATTTACAAATGAAAAAGAAAGTTTAATGAGTATAACAAAGTGTTATTATCCTTGAATTTACTCATTAGTTCTCAAAACAAAAGCAAGCATGCCATGCTAAGTGTCCATGAACCCAGCTATCAAAAGTGCCAACAAAAATGTTTGCTGTTAGCAGTTAGGCGGTCAGCAGTCAACACTATCAAACTATAAAATTCAGCTTGAATTTGCTAGTAGTGAAGAAAAATCTGTTTGAACACTAGTACCACATGATAGTCCTTTAAAAAAGGTTTCATGGGCTGGAGATGTAGCTCAGCAGTTTTTCGTAGTGTGCAAAAAGCCTTGGATTTGATAACCAGTACTGCAAAAATAAAAGCAAAGGTGGTTCCATGGTCAATATTGGTTATGTATATATCCACAATAATGCACATATCATATCATGAAAAGACTCTTGAGAAGTCCCAAAGTTAAACCAAAACCTGTGTTCAACTTAGTTTAACAAATGTTCCTTAGACTTGGAACATTTTGAGTTTGGATTTAAGATCTACTGATATTCTAAAGAGATGGCATTTTGAATTATAATTACTTAAATATGAAATATACATTAAAAAAAGGGATATTTACAGATATATTTGGGTCTTTTTAAGAATAAATGTTAAAGTTAAAATCTGATGAACATCTACATTCTGAGTATTTCTTAAACAAATAAGGAATCTCTTTAAGGCTGAATAGGAGCAAGATCACAAGAGATTACTGAACAGATGAGTCTTGTATCTCATAAAATCAGTTACCAATAGAATATTATTTTTACTTAAAAGACTACTAAAATCTCTTTTGCATTAAATATAAAAAGAATTATCACTTCCTTAAACTTATTTGATTCTTCACCCTATAAAATAAGCCTCTTTTTATATGTGAACAGGGTAATAGCATCACAAATGTATATAATGGTATATGATTCACAAACTTGTTTTTTGGTACCAAGGATTGAACTTGGGTCCTTGCACTTGCAAAGCAGGTGGCGGAAGCACTGAGCTAAACCCCCAGCCCCACAAACTTTATATTAAAACTATTTTATTAACTGCAGCATACTGAACGTGACACTGACAGCAAGCTAATATGGCATACTGTAATATTTAATGCAATCATGATTTTCACCCCATAGGCTTAAATATAAAAGAAATTTAATTCTCTCTACAACTACGTACAAAACACACACATACACACTCATGCACACACACACAGTTGACTTTTCCACTTTACCATTTTGATACCCTCCCCACGGCACAGCATTTCGTACTTCTGTCTCTCTGGCAGGTAATCCACAGCAATCCCTTTTTTCCTCAGTGTGCTCTTCTGATCAGACTGGTCATCTGAAGCAGACTTATTGGCATCTTTTTCTTTAGCCATTATATACTCAAAATATTTTAAGTTACCATTAGCTCTCTGATGTTCAGGATCTATTTGAAGAGAAATAAAGTATGTCCACGAGTAAGTCTGCAATTGCTAAACCCTCTGATTATAAATATAGGGGACCACATGATTTGTCTTCCAAACCAGAGTACTTTTTAAGAGTAAAAAGAGCCACTAAGACAAATTATAATACCAAAAATGGATGTAAACTAGTACTATCCCAAGTAAGTCAGAACATATGGTCACCCTATGTAAAAACAGTTCTAGAGACAAAAACAGCTTTTTATTTCAAGGTTGCAATTATTGCTTCTACTTTGAGAACTTACTAATCAGCCAGAGGAACTATGTTCAATTTTATGTAAAATGAGTCTTAAAATCTTTATTATCCTACTTATTTTAGGAAATGGGAAATATTTTTCTAAGACTGTAAAATAATCACTACTATAAAAACAAAGCATACATACTTCAAAAGCAACCTTTACCACAGATACATTATAAACGCAAAACACATTTGAGTGGATTTCAGCCCCAAATTTCTAAGAAAGAAGAAACTAAAGATTAATTTTCAAATAAGCCAGAATCTACTGACTGACTCAAAATTACTGATGATTTTTAGCTACATCATCCAGCTGGGAAAAAGAGAAAAATCCAACAACCACACACAGGGATAAAAATAAAAAGGCAAAACAGTGGTTGAGACTTCACCTGTGACATAATTGAAGTGTTTGAGAAATGTAACTCTAGATTATAAAATACTTCTTGTCCTTCAGAGACTGGTCTCAATATTTATTATGATATACAATAAAAACAATTTTCTAAAAGGAAATACTGTGCAGGGAAGGGGAATGTATACTACAATAAAACAAAAATTTTGTGTTTTTGGGTAATTGGCTTACGGATGGATGACTATATCTTTTTCTGTTTTAATAAATTTCCTACAATGAGTACAAAGTATGTTCTAAATCAGAAGGAAAATTCAGTGAAAAATAATAAAAGAAAAAAAGTTATTTGAACTAGTATCTTTTAATTTATCAATTCACCCAACTAGAAAATAAACCACTTATCAAAAGTTGACTTTCAGATGATCGATCTGAGTTGATTTTTCTGACATAATGCATATTTTTCGATTCATAAAATAATTTTTTAAGTTTTAAGGCTTCATTATAAAGCAAAGGCCACCTAAACTTATTACTATATAAATTCTTGTCTCCATCTCCAAAGATTATGATTTAGTAGAAATCAAGGAATTTTCACTTCTAACAAGTATTCAAGTAATTCTGATGTATGTGGTGCCTGAACCATACTTAGAGAAATTCTATATCTCTGTTCAAAGCACAAGTGACAAAATTCTCACAAGATATATTTTTCTAACATTTGAATAAGAAATGCAATATACCAATAACACTCTTCAGAAGAAAGAAGTTTAACATTTAATATGAAAACATTTTTGACTAAGTTATTTAGGTTAGATTCAATCTGGAAATTCCAGAATACAGAGTGGAGGAACATAGCCATAATGCCAGTACTAATCATGTGAGAAAAATCAATTGCCACTTCCTTTGAGAAGAAGCAGTGAGACGATAAAGTGTCTGACTGATAAGGCTCTTAATTTCTACCAAAAAGTACTGAAGGTATGTGGATGGATCGATGGACAGATAAATATATAGATAATATATATCCCCAATATAATCATAACCTTAAATTAAGGCCTGATAACATACCTAGTTCAAGTAGCTTCTTTGTGAGCAGAAGAGCCTTATCCAGGTCTCCCTGCTGGTATACGGCATAGCTCAGGTAATCTAGCACAGAGACCTTGTCCACGGTGGCCACCTCGCCTGCATCCAGCTGCCTGAGAGCTTGTCCCATCCACAGTTCAGTGTGGTAATAGTCTGCCTCTGTGTAGGCCACTTTGCCCAATTCAAAGCAGTCCTCTGCTGTTAGGAAGGATTTGTGCTTTACTCCTATGAAAAGAAAATGCAGAGAACTTTCAGAATCTTCATACTACTGTATATTTACTTATGACTATATAGCTTTCAAAGTGCCACTTCATTTTTACTTGAACTTTACAACAGTCCTGAGATAAGCAAAATTTATCTTAATCTTGTAAACAAATAAACAATCTGCAAGGTAAGGTAGCATGACCAAGAATCACACAACTGGTATTGGGTGACCTGGTACCTAAAGAACCCATGGGTTAGATTATCAGACATTGTACCAAAATAAACATCAGTTACAACGAAATGTGCTATTCTCTAACACAGCAGGAATCACCATAGAAGATACATCTGTCTTACTTCTAACCAACAATCTAGTCAAGAGATGAATGTATAGAGAGAAAAGCAAACCTGTCAGCTAATTTTCTTTTCTTTCTAAACTACACTAATGACATGTAAAATTTAAATGCCAGAGTTTACTCACCCATTTAAAGGTCACTAGTAATATATTTAAATATACTAGTTCTTAGTATATTTGTAGATGTATGCAACAATCACCACAATCTAATTTTAGAACATTTTCATCACCTCAAAAGGAAATCTTGGCAGGGGATTTAGCTCAGTGGTGCCACACCTGCCTTGCAAGTGCAAGGTCCCAAGATGGATCCCCAGTGGGGACGGGGCGGGGCGGTGTCTTGTCACCATCACCAGTTGCAACCTATTACCTTCCCAACCCCAGCCCTAGACAACCACTAATCTACTTTCTATCTCTAAGGATTTACAGTACCTATTATTACATTTCATATAATCATACAGTATGTGGTCTTTTGTGACTGATCAATTTATCTCAGTATGTTTCCAAGGTTTATCCATGTTGCAGAATCCTTTTTATTGTTAAACAACAGTCCACTGCATGGACAGATCACAACTGTCTGTTAGCTGATGGACATTTGCAATGTTTTCACTTTTTTGGCTTTTATGAATGATGCTACCATGAATATTTGTGTACAAGTTTTTGTGTGGACATATGATTTCATTTCTCAAGAAAATATATATAAAGAGAGAGCAGTAAAACTGCTGCAACTCTACACTTAATATCTTGAGGAAATGAGAAAATGTGATACTGAGAGGGGGTAGCAATGTCAACAGGTAACTTTGCTTTTTGAAAAATTCAGTATAAGACAAGAATTAATAACTTTAAACTCAAAACTTAATATTATTATTTTTCAATTATTTCTTTAAGAATTAGCATTAGAGATTTGAGAGAACATTCTCATAGAAAAGATTTTTGTAAGCACAAGGTCCTGAGTTCAATCCCTGGTACCAAAAAATATATATATATATTTTTGCAGATGAACCAAATATAAGTTAAAAGCATGGAAATGTATAAGCACTATGTCAACATAATGGAATATTTTTCAGTGAGATAATTTCAAATGTCATATAGAAAAGCCAGAACAATCTAGACAAATATGTCAAAATGTTAAATTGTTACCTTGCTAGACATATTACTAGTTTCCTAAATCTTTAAACCTTTTAAATTTTTCAAAAATTGTACAATTACTTTGACAAGAACAAAGAAAAATAGGGAATTATAGAAAGAAACATTTAAAAAGCATTAACTCTGAATGATGTACACAAAATGATAACAACCATATAACATTCCTTTTTTTTTCTTCCCAGCACTGGTGATTAAGCCCAGGGCCACATGCATGATCAGGTGTTAGAGAAAAAAGCATTTGATATAAAAAAAAAATTATTCATTTATACTATAGCCAAGTTCATAAGAATTAGGCAAATTTCCTGATGCCGAAAGAAAAGGGAACTTGAAACCCAGAGAGATACACTAAGAAGGAAGCTGCATCTGCTCTGGAGGCAGTCACCAGAATTAGAAACATAGAGGTTTGATTTTAACTACCAGAAGGGACAGGGGATGAAAGCCTCCAGACCATTCTGAGTAGCAACTGGTCTTAAGAGCTCAATGTAGAGCAAAACCTTTGAAAATTACACCCTGGATGAAATAATGAGCTTTAAAAATACTGTCAGCTGACAAAGAGAAACTACAAGAATTTTTATTTTTCAGAGTCAGTTCCACAGGCATATCCTCAGGGAGGTTTTAATTTCAAATTTACATTGTCTCAATGGTCTGGGAAACTAAAACCAAGAAATTAGCTAAAGTGATCCTGGGTTGGTAAAGTTATAGGACATCTAGCATAAACAACATTTATACTCCGGAAAATGTGCCCTTTCCCCAAATTTTGCAATATTTCCACAGAAGACATTCGCTGAAGCAGCACACAATCTAAAACTGCAAAGCATGTGACAGGCTACTATGAGCAAACAGCAGAAATTATCAAAAATAGTACTAAATATTCCCTTAGGTCTTCATATACTGGAATTAACAGATTAAGAATACAAAATAATAGATTAGGGCAGGGATTTAGCTCAGTAGTGCCATCTCACAAGTGTGCTTGCCTCGAAAGCCCAAGGTCTGGAATTTGATCCTCAGTACCAAAACAAAACAAAACAAAACAATAATAGATTAAAATATTTAAAGAAATACAAAAACAAAAAATATGAACAATTAAGATACCTGCTACACAGTTTGGATGTTGATTGTTCCCCAAACATCCAATGTTAAAGGCTTGGTCCCCAGAGTGGCACTACTGGGAGATGGTGGACTTGGGGTCGGGATGGGGGTGGGGTGTCTAACAGGAACCCCTTATGTCACTGTGAATGCGCCCTTGAAGGGGACTGTGAGACTTTAGCTCCTTCCTCTTCACTTCCTGGCTTATCAGGTAAGCAATTTGCTTTGCCATGTGCTCCTCCCTATTGCCTTCTGGCACCCTCATCAGAAACCTAGAGCTGTGGATCCATCAGATCTTGAAATGGAACTTCTAAAACTATGAGCCATAATAAATCTTTTCTCTTTATTTCAGGTATTTCATTACAGTAATATGAAGCTGACTAACATGGTGCACTATAACAGACCCAGTGGATTTGAACAAAAGGGGAAAAAAAACTTCCAGAAATCCTAAACACAGGATGAGTATCTCCAATCTACAATCTGAAGTGCTCCAACATGCAGAGCTTTTTGAGCACTGATGCAATGCAACAAGTGGAAAATTCCACATCTGACCTCATGCAACAGGTCACAAAGTGAAATTGTACTAAAAATATTGTAAAAATTTACCTTTAGGGCTGTATGTAAAGATATACGTGAAACAGAAACAAATGTCATATTTAGAGTTTAGACTTGGACCTCATCCCCTGATATCTCATTATGTACACACAAATATTCCAAAATCTGAAAAAAAATCCAAAATCCAAAGCACTTTTAGATGTCAATTTCTAGTCACTCATTTCAGATAAGGGATATTCAACCTATATATTCAGTACTATTAAAAATTCACTGGGCAGGTTTAAAAGTAAATCAGATATAACTAAAAAGAAACTGAATCTAGAAAACAGAGCTTAATTATCAAGAGTAAACTACTCAGAATGCAGCAGAGAAAGAAGTATACATGAAATGCTTGTTTTAAAAGGCAGAAAGAAAAAATAGTTAAAATTTCAGAAAAAGATTATGAGACACTATTTTAAATCTTTCAGAATTAAAACATATGGAACTTCAGATTCAGGAAGAATAAAGAATCCCACCCTCTGCGCAAGTGCAAGGACCCGAGTTCGATCCCCAGTACAAAAAACAACAACAACAACAAAAAAAAATTAAAAGATTAAAAAAAAAAAAGAAAGAATCCCACCCAAATAAAGTACATATAAAGGTGTTTAAGGATGTATTTCTAGGAGAAAAATTCTAAAAGGAAAGTTTGAAGTATAAGAATGATAAAGAAATACATATATATATATGTGCGACAAATGTATATATGCACCAATCTAAACCATAAAGATTGGCAAAAATCTCAAAGTTGACATTTGTTGGTGATCTTATGGGGGAAAATGGCAATCATATCCTGCTGGTCGAAATGCAAAATAATATAAATCTTGTTTATAAGGGTATTAGAACAATATTAGCAAAATTACCTATTCATTTACTCTTTGAACCAGTGAGACCACTTCTAGAAAAATATCTGTAAAGGTCAGTTAGCAAAAATACAAAATAAATACGCACAAGGTTATTAGCAACATTACTTTTTTAGTAGAAAAAGACTTCAAATAAACCAAATGCTCATTATAAAGGGACATGGTTAAATAAACTATGGAACCTCCACAATATACACTAACATGCAGCTGTAAAAATAAATGAACATTCCTACGTATCATATGAAATGATATCTAGGGAATATGAAAGAAAAACACCAAAGTTAAGAACAATATTCACACCGTGGTACCTTTTGTGTAAATGTCAAGAGGAAATACAAGTACATATATATAAATTTACTTCTTTTTCGAAAAGAAACTATGGAAATAGAAAAACTAGTAAAATGGTTGCATATAGGAAAAAGGGAATAGATTGAAGAGTACAAGAATGGAAGTGAGTGTAAATGCACTCAGTATAGACTGGATAGTGAAAGAATATGAAAATTCTATATAAAGACAAAAAACTAAAAAAAACAGGCAACAGTATTTAAAAATGAAGAAACAACACTGAAATAATTGAACCCAACTGTAGAGCATGTTGAAGGGATAATCATTCAGAGAAATGAATTATTTCAGGAATATTCAAGACAGTATTTTGACTGATCATATCTGGTGTGATATATACTAAGGATTAAAAAGTACTGAATTCACTGGTCAACGTTATTTTTTTTTTTTTTGGTACCAGGGATCGAACTCAGGACCTTGCACTTGCGAGGCAGGTGGTGGAACCACTGAGCTAAATCCTCGGCCTGGTCAACGTTATTAATAATGAAGGTGCTACTATTTTAAGTTATTTTAGGCATATTGTAGATAATACAAAAAAATTAATGTCATTAGGAACCAGGATTTTCAACACAAAAGAGATGTCAGTATAAACCCTGTAACCTTCAATTTCAACTGGAACTAATATGAACTCGCACATTTCCTATCTCTGTTCATTTGAAAGACCTGGAATAAATTACAAACTCAACAGTAATAAACACCCTACAACTTACCGGTAGCTAGACTCTGCTTTTTAAATGCCATTCCCTGTTAAAACAAATTAAGGCTGACCCAGGTGGTATGGCGCACACCTATAACCCCAACACTCTGCGAGGCTGAGGCAGGAGAATCACAAGTTTGAGAGCCTAGCCTAGGCAACTTAGCCAGACCCTGTCTCAAAAAATAAAGAAGGGCTTGGGTTCAATGTCCAGTACAACAACAACAATAAAACTCAAGGTTCATTATTAGATAAATTCCTGACTCCTGTACAGAAGGAAGGAAATTTCCTTGCTATCAAAGAATAATATGATGATTTCAGAAAGCCAAAAGTGATATATTAATCTGAAGAGGCTCCCTCTGGCTAAAATGGGACATTACAAGCATCAAAATAAATAATGAACATAATGTACTGAAATAAAAAATTATTGTATATAAAAATACAGGAGAGGAAGAAAAGTCAAGGAGGAGATAAAAAGTAAGTGAGAGCTGGGGATATAGCTCAGTGGCACAGCACCTTCCTGGCAAGTGTGAGGCCCTCAGTTGGATTCCCAGTACCAAAAAAAAAAAAAAAGTGAGAAAATATTAATATGCTATAATGAAAAATAACTCTACATATTCTCAGGATATTTTATTTTCAGCCATTCTATATGAGTCTTACCAACTGATCTCTAAAGATTTGGTTCTCCGAGGATCCAGTGATTTTCCTAAGGCTAAACACAGCAAAACTGGGGTAAAATAATATTCAATTTTGGAATGGGAAGATAAAAGTTTTTTTAAAATATTGAAAACTAAATGAAATTAATTATCATCCCCCTAAAAAAAAAAACCCCCTGCTTCTTGTATTCTCTATTTTGTTAGATGGAACCCACCCACTGTTCAAGCCCAAGAACCCATATCAAGTCCATCATCAAATTCTACCATCTGCTTCCCCACTGAAAATCTATGCACTTCTCTCCAACTGCACTAACTACTACTATAATCTCCTACTTAAATTTTCGCAGTACCAAAAATTGGTTCTTTTTCCCTTGGGCCCAACCTAATCTCCATTCTGTAGCTAGAATGGTATTTATAAAAGGAAAATCATAAATTTCTCTGTTTAAAACTTTTTGATAGCTCTTCATTGTGCTCAGGACAGTTCAAACTTCACATGTCTTACATCCCCTCCAAGAGATAGCTTCTGCTTACCTCCCTAGCCTCATCTCTCACAAAATCAAACCCCATCTCCACCTCAGACACTCACCGTTTTAACTGCAGTTTAATCATACAAACTGTTAGTTATCTGAATATGACATGCTTTCTCCTTTCCAGTCTTTAAGATGTTCCCTTTGCCTGGAACACTTTGTTTTTGTTTTTGTTTTGGTACCAGGGATCGAACTCGGGACCTTGTACTTGCAAAGTAGGTGGCGGAACCACTGAGCTAAATCCCTGGCCCTACCTGGAATACTTTGTCATGCCCACTCTTCTCTCCCTCTTCCCCATTTTTCTGGATAATCCCTTGTTCAGTAAGTCTTAATTTTGTAAATTATGTCTTCTAGGAAGTCTCCCTTTATATTTCTTATCAAGTCCAGAATTAGATTTCCTTCTATGTGCTCTCATGGTATCCTTAAATGTCCTCCCTTCAGGCATTCATCATAGTGTATGTTAAAAGTGTAAATAGGCAAAGATAGTGTCTGTCTTATTCATTATATATGCTTAGTACTGAACAGCTGGCACATATCAAGTAGTTAGTAGCTATTAAATGTGTTGTTTTAAAACCAGAAGCCATTTTTTTTCCCACAATGCTGGGGATCGAACTCAGGGCTTTGTGTAGTCTAGGCAAGCATTCTACCACTGAGCTACATCCCCAGCCCCTCAGAAGCTAATCTTCAAAATATGGCTCTAAGATCTGGACCTAGTGATGTACACCTGTAACCCCAGCTACTCATGAGGCTGAAGCATGAAGATCTCAAGTTTGAGTCCAACATGGGAAACTTAATGAGTCCCTGTCTCAAAGGAAAAAATAAAAAGGGCTGGGGATGTAGTTCAGTGTGAAGGCCCTGAGTTCAATCTTTAGTATTGGGGAAGAAAAAAAAGATTATCAGATGAGAGTAGCTCAGTGGTATAGTGCTCCCTGGGTTCACGCCCCAGCCCCCGCCCCCCAAAAGAAGTTATAACTTTATCAAAAATGTTATAATGAATATTAGTAGAGACAAAATAATATTTGCAAATTTGTACATTTTTGGAAATCCAAACTAATGGAATTACTCCAATTTAACAGAAATTTTACTTAATATTATACTATGTTTAGTTTTACACTTGATATCTTTATACTGAAATGAAGGGGGCCGGGGATTTAGCTCAGTGGTTCCACCACCTGCCTCGCAAGCGCAAGGACCTGAGTTCGATCCCCCATACCAAAAAGAAAGAATGAAATGAAGGAAGATGAGCAAGGAAAACATCCTAATAACTCACACCACTCTTTTTTTCTTACTGAGAAAAACCAATTTCAGTATGAAAACAGAGGTAACATATTTTATTTCTCCAGTTAACAGTGACAGGGGATATTAATGGTAATAAACCATAGACTCACAGAAATGTGTAAGATGTAAATTATCATAAAATCAAATGTAACTTTATAAAAGAGAAGCAGTTTTGCCAAAAATAAAAAGCAGAATGTTCCATCCTATAGAACACTTTAAACATCTGTGCATATCCCAGTGGGCTTTTAATTAATGAAAACACAAATTTTATCAATTTCATTATAGCTTTGCATACATAAGCAGTATCACGTTCTTTTAAAAATCTGGAAAAATGGTTGTTCCCTTTTCTCATGCACTAAAAATAGCTTACTTAAATTAGTCCCCATAAATATAAGCTTTCACAGCAACAAGCCAGAAGCATATCCATCACTATTAAGTATCCAAAAGCTATGAAAAAACTATAGCTTTAAAATCTTGTCTTTTTGGGCCAGGGATTTAGCTCAGTGGTTCCGCTGCCTGCCTCGCAAGGACAAGGACCCAAGTTCGATCCCTGGTACCAAAAAAAAAAAAAAAAAACTTGTCTTTTTTACATTGTTCTAGTGGACTGAATAGGCATTTCATAGATTGGAAAAATTATCTTACCTGGAAGATTACCCTTTGAGATTGTATCTGTGTCCAGGTTGTAGGTATCCTGGAGACGCAACAAAGCTTTGGCTGCCCCAACCTGATCTTCATCATTAGGGAAGTACTGTCTCTGAATGGTCAGGTTAGAGATAAAGCCTTGAAATAGACAAAATGGGATAAAAAGGGACTGTAGAACCTCACACTTCTATCTAATGCAGAATCTTTATAAGGATTTCTCAAAATCTTATCATTTTCAGCTATAACACCAAAGTTCCATGAGTTAAGAAAAAAATAAAATACACTGAGTATAACATATACCTAACTTGTTCAATTTTCCCAATTTCTAATTTTAAGTAATCTGAGTTCACTGCATAAATTATATTAGTGAGTAAAGATCAACTAACATAATAACTGAGTTTTACACAATTCAGCAAGAAAACAAACAGTGCCTCCACTATGAGATGAACTCATTTATGGGATTTTTTTTGTTGTTCTTGTTTGTTTGCTTTTTAATTTTTTTTGACAAGTTCTTGCTAGTTCAGGCTGGTCTTAAACTTACTACGTAGCCCAGGCTGGCCTGGAACTCGTGGCGATCCTCCTGCTTCTGCCTCCCAAGTCCTGGGATTATAGGTGTTTGCCACCACACCCGGTTATTTGTAGGATTTTAAACACTTACACTTTCACTGACAACCAATTATACTTTCAAATAACAGATGATAAATAAAACTTGTGCTCTTAAAGTTCTCTTTTCTTCTTCTTGACCACACATTATATAAATATGGAAATATATACATTTTGATGAAATTCTTCAAAGAAAAAATGTTAATTATATATTTAAGATCAACAGCTAGTTTTCTAAAATACATTTACATATTTAATTGGCAAATACTGTGCTAATTAGTCAAGATTAGCTGTACATAAAATCTAATGTTAATTTAAGGAAGATTTATATAAAATACAGCAAAAGTCAAACTATCAAATTACTGGTAACTATGTAATGTCTAGGAGAATGGATGCTAAATAACTCCTTAAGAAAACAAAACAAAAAAGTGATTAAACTTTTAGTGATGTAAATGTTATCACTGTAATAAAAATTAGGAGGGCCGGGGATTTAGCTCAAGTGCAAGGACCCAAGTTCGATCCCCGGTACCAAAAATAAATAAATACATTCATGAATGAGAAAGTCTTTAAAAAAATAAAAAATTAGGTATGAGACTTCCCTCCTCTCTCATTAACTTTTGGTCAACTATTTGTACTTTGACCAGCAATAAATCAAGCATTTTTTTTTTTTTTTTTGGTAACCGGGGATCGAACTTGGGTCCTTCCGCTAGATCCCCAGCCCAAGTATTTTTATTTTAATGGAAATGTACAAAAGAAACAACCAGCTAGAAAAGGACTAAAGTTCATATAAAACATAATTTTAAGTTTTTTTTTTAAATCTAAGTTACTTAAGTCCTCTCTAATAAAAACAGAAAAAATATATATAGCATGGGATAACTACCACCGATTAAAACATAAAAATGCCAAGGTTCACATTATAGAAGAAGTGCACAGGTCATTACTCTAGAATGAATGAATGAATGGTGTGTGTGTGTGTGTGTGTGTGTGTGTGTGTGTGTGTAGAGGGGTGAAGGGAGAGAGAGGGATGAAAAGAAAGGGAGAGAGGAAGGGAGGTAGGGACAGGCAGAAAGAAGGAGGGTAGAAAAGGTAGGAAAGCTAGTGGGACGGGGTTATATATTTCCTTAAAAATATTCTCAGGGTAATGTACAGTATTATACAGTACAGAAAATAATCACAGGCATTTCCTTCTCATAGTGAATAAGTATTCACAAGTACCTGCCATTACTTTTCAAGGTTCCCTATTTTATGCGTAACACAGGAGTCCCCACTTACATCCCAAGAGGTTGCTGAAATCATGATTACTATGGAATCCTATATATACTATGTTTTTCTTATACATACATATACAAATTTAATGCCTTTCTATCTTAACTAAGCACTTAACATGCATTATGACCATAATATTTGTAGTTTGAAGTATGACAGCAAAACTAGCATGAATTTCTTTTTCCTTCACAATTTCACAGACAGAAGATTCATTCTTCCCACAGATCTTAGCAACCTCTGCATATAATTTTTTCAACTTTAGCACACAGGTTTTTTTTTTCTTCTTCTTCTTTCCTGAGAATTTTCACTTAAAGTAAACACTTTATGGCTTGTCTTTGGCACATCCAAATTGCTATCATCACTACTTTTGTATTTTGGAGCCATTATTAAGTAAAATAAGGGTTACTTGATCACGAAGTACTGTGAAAATGATCTGATAAATGACAGGCTACTAAGTAACTGAAGGCAAGTTGTGTATACAGCACAGGTATGCTGGACAAAGGGACAACTCACATCCCTGGTGGGATAGCCCCAGATTTTATCACACTATGCAGAAAGGCACTCAATTTAACACTTCTTGTTTATTTCTGGAATTTTCTATTTAATATTTTTGAACTGAGTAAATGGAACTGCAAAATGAAAAACTATGGGTAAGGGAGTCTACTATAGTACACTGCCTGCAAACAATGAGAAGTACTCTCGGAGTATTTTATTTACACAGCCCGTTTTTTTCTTCCATCTTCATTGATGCAATATATATTTCAGCCTCTAATATGTAGTAAGATTAATAATCCCTTTACCTCCTTCAACTCCAGACTCAGTTTTCTATTAATACTATCTAAAACACCTCAACACTCCAACAATTTTATTGTTTCACTTAGAAAGACTTAATTATTGGTATTTATAGCTTCCGTTTTTTAATCTAGTGCCTACATTGAATAAAATAATCCTAAAACCAAATTATTAGGTAGAATACAGGGAACACTTACTTCTCTTTATAACATCACTCTTGGTATTTTAAAAACTGACTAGAAATAAAGACATACCCATTTTGTTGTTTGTGGTACTGGGAATCAAACTTAGGGAAAGCCCACCACTGAGCTACATTCCCAGCCCTTTCTTAAATGTTTAATTTGATAATGTCTTGCTAAATTGCCCAGGCTGGCTTTGAATTTATGATCCTCCTGACTCAGCTTCCCAGAGTGCTGGGATTACAGGCATGTGCCACCAGCCTGGCAATTGACCCAGTATTTTAAAAACTGACTGAAAATAAAGATTTACACACAATTTTTTTTCCCTTTTCTTTTTGGTTTTTTGAGACAAGGTCTCACTAGGTAGTCCAGGCCATCCTTGAACTCGCTATGGAGGCCAGCCTGGCCCTAAATTCTCCATCTTCCTTGTCTCAGTCTCCAGAGTGTTCAGATTACAGGTGTGGGCCACCATACCCAGGTAACATAAATTTTTAAAGTCTGAAGGTAATCCTAAAATAAAAATGATTATCCTCAGAAATGAAGCTATATGCTAAATAATCTATTCACTTCTATAGATTTCAAAACAAAATCACCAGTGTTAGTCACCAGTAGCAGAAATTACTATTTTTTATAATCAAAGAATTCAGGATCTTGACTAAATGAACTCTAGTCAAACCAAATGCACCCAGGCGATAATTACAACACTGAGTACGTGACATTCTGGGAACTGAATTTATGACTAACTCTGACATTTCTATAGGTAGTAGGATTATTACCATACCTTTTATGGGGAGGGGGGCTCAATTAGTTTCTTCAGACTTACCATCTGACATATCCTTAAGGACCAGATTCTCCAACTCACTCCACTCAGTATTCAGACGTTTCATTAACTTGAATGCATTTACAGGATGCCCAACAAATCCTTCTGGATCTTTTGTTGCTGTGCTAGTGAGCCGATCTAACTTCTCTGCCCATCTATAAATGTATGACATAAAAATGTACATACACTCATTAAGGAAAATCACAATTTAGTAAGGTACTTGGGAAAAAAAGACTAGATTAGAGGCTTCTGAGTTAAAACTACACATATGATTTTTTTTCGTACCGGGGATCAAACTCGCGACCTTGTGCTTTCGAGGCAAGCGGCAGGCAGGTGGCGGAACCACTGAGCTAAATCCCCGGCCTCTACACATATGACTTTATTCTAAAGTAAAATTATAAAGGCCCTTTAAAGAGTAAGATCTTGATAAAATATAACTTGGCAGAATCAAAACACAATAATAAGATTTTTTTTTGTTTAGTTTTGTTTCTCCCAAATGACTACAGTAAATGGAATCTCCCTGTCTTAGTAAAAGTTAGGATTTGATCCCTCTAGTAAGAGTAAAAAAAATCATTTCCCTACAGATCTTTAAGGCCAAATAACTATTACAAAGTTCAAACTGGCCCAACCTAAGTTCACTTACACATTTGCTTAAAGTGACTTTTCACTATGCTGCCCAAGCTGGCTTAGAACTCCTGGGCTCAACTGATCCTCCTGCCTCACCCTCCTGAGTATCTGGGACTATACACATGCACCACTGAGCTGGCCTAATGCAATTTTTACATTTAATATCTAGAAACTACATTTTAAAACAAAAGCCTTGCCATGTGTGGTGGCACACACCTGTAATCCCAGCACTCAGGAGGCTGGGGCAGGAAGGGAGGAGGATCATCATGAGTTCAAGGCCAGCCTGAGCTACGTAGTGAGTTCATTACCAGCCTGAACTACATAATGAGACCCTGTTTCAAAAAAAAAAAAAGCCTTACTATTTAGCTATTCATTAAACAAAACACAGGAATTCTAAGGTCTTAGCTCAAAAAGAAAACAACCAGATGGAGTCAGTCTTACTAAGTAACACATCACGTACTTTTTTATCTGTTCTAACTTGGCCTCTTCTGCCTTAATATAATCTTTCAGAGAAGTTACCAGATCTTTCTCCGTATGGATCAAATCAGTCATCTGACCTATGAGGGGAAAAAAGAAAGAAGGTTATCAAATATTCCTCAACACACATATACTAGAATCAGCTAAGAATGACTGAGAACACTTCATCCTCTGAGAGGATTAACTGGCAGGAAGTAGATATGCTGGAGCAAATTATCTTTTTTCTTTTTCATTAGCTAAATCAAAACAAAGCCAAAACCTGTTCTAATTATGTGCTCCAGGTCTAATTTTCAAGCTACTTAATTTTACAACCTTGGGCTGTGCTGGCAAATTATCTTTTCATATACAAACAGAATTACAACACAACACTACTTTCCAAGGATCAATGTTTTTTCTTCACCACCTCCCTCTACACCTTTTGTTTTGTTTGCAGGACTAATTACATTTTATTCAATAAAATCACACTAAAAAATTACAAATGATTTATGCTTAATTATTTATAAGGGATTAGAGGAGTCATCATTTTATATCCTGAAATCAAGTGTCATAAATATATTAATACTTATGATTTAGCTCTATAATTCCCCAAGGGTCAAAATGGTCAAGAGAATGAAGGAAAACATCTCATTTAAGACAATGAAATACAAAATAAAATATAAAACAATACATATCAAACTATGAAGAGTATTCTAGGATCAAGGGACATGAGGAGGTCTTATATTCTACGTACTGTACTTTTGGTCTTTAACCAATTTTCCCCCAGTGCTGGAAGTTATACCCAGGGCTTCGTGTTGTACTATTGAGTCAAACCCACAGCCCTGATATATTCTTTTTATAATACTCTTAAGGACTTTAAAAAATTACAGTGTAGCAAAAAGAAATGCTCACAGTAGATTCTTACATGTAAAAATCAGGTCAGAAAATAATATGTAGTTTATTTGAGTATCTGTGCATTGAAAACGACTGAAGTACAAATATAGGCACTATTTGCTAAATAGACAATAGTAATATTCTTTGACAAGCTTTTCTAAATTTTAAGTTTCTAACTAGAAGATGTATGATTTTTACAATAAAGAAATAATTTAAAGCAAAACAACTGAGTTAAAAATGAGAGAGAGGATCTTTTAGAAGGGCAGGGGGTAAGCCAAATGCTTTAGTCTTTGGGAATGCACTGAATTTATTTTTATTTATTTAAAAACAAAAAAATTGAAATTTTTGAATGCAAAACTACACAAAAAAAGTAGTTAAGACTTACCAATTGAAGTAAAAAAGCCTGGATGGGCCAAAGTTTGGGGTAGCAGAATCCCTACAAGTAAAACATGCCAGATCATCTTGGAAGATTTCATTTTACAGGTTCACACACCTGTAAGAGAAATAGAGCCATTACCAAAAAAAACCCCCAAAAAACAAACAAACAAACAAAAAGTTACCTATTCTGTCCATGAACAAAGTAAAGGTCAGACTCCAAGATTAGGCTACCTACAAAATAATATTAATTACTATACACTGATTTAATAATAGCTAATTTCTTATTTTTCAGAATATTACCTCAATATTTCACATTAAAGAAAAATATACATGTTTGTTATAACCTGGTAACTTATTCTTTAAAATTCAACCTGCTTGTTTTTTCCTTAGTTATTATGACTATTAGAGTAAGTAATAATAGTAGCTTTTCATATAGCCTGAAAAGTTGTTTTCTTCTGTGATCTGGATCTAAACAATGACTTTTTCATAAAAACAAGTTTATTAGAATGACAGCTTGAATATTACAAATATATTTTAAAGACATTGCAATCTTTTTAAAGGAAAAAAGATTTCACAGTTCTCTGATTAATCCTTAAAATTCCTAACTTGTTCCATATTTAACCTATATGATTTTATATTGTAAAATAAAGTCATTTAAAAGTTGTGGATATAGGGATGAGGAAAGTGTCCTAAAACTGACTGTGGTAACTGATGGTTAAACAACTCTGTTTAAGTACTGAATCATAAATATTAAATGAATGAATTGTATAGTATATGAATTGTATCTCAAATAAACAGCCCTGTCCATTTAAACTAGTAATTTCTCTCCAAGGGCCCAGGCTTTAGGTTTTTTTCCCCTTTTACCTACCATGTCTATAAAAAAAAAATCTTAGCTAATTACATAATTGTGGCTTTTTTCCCCCTCCTTTCTTGTTTTAATCCCAGTAGCAAAGCTCTTCTTTTTATTCCTTATCTCTGGTAGCAGTCTTTTCTAGTGAGGATGTTTCACAGCAAATGAATGTATCAATTAACCAACAGTTAACCTTGAATCTCAATCAAAATAGATCACCAGAAAAAATGATTCTGGAAGAACCCCTAAATCTACTCCCTCAAGTCTGCTGCAAACTTCCAGATACTTCCAGAACCACACAGTAGTGAAATGCACTGCTTTCTTGGCTGCCTTACAGTGACTTTGGGAAGGCTTCTAGAATGCAGCAGATGCAGGCACTTCCTCCCCTGGGCTTCTGCCAAAGCACAAGACTTTTTCAAAACCCTGGGCTCTCTAAAGAGTCTAGAATTTTCTCACTGTTTAAACAGAGCTCTGTTATAATTTTCTTCATGAATAAATGCTGTTTCCAAAAAATACAAATGTTTTCACTATACCAACAGGATTATAGTACAAAAATTAGATTTGCCAGATAAGAGGTTATTTTTTTCATTTCTATTGTCACTAAAAATTTTTGTCTCCTTTCATTCTCCTTAAATCTCACAACAAATCAAGAAATATTAGCTTATAGAAATAACTAAAAAGAAACTTAAAATAGTGTTTTTCTTCATATATAGTAACTTGAAAACTTAGAGGGCTTACATAAAACTTCAAAGCATTGGTTTTATGAAGAATAAGTATGCCTTTAACCTTCTTTTATGCTTCAAAATAAATTATAGAGATTAAACAGTTCTAATCAACAAAACAAAGTAAAACAATAAAATAAGTTATAGGATCTTCAAAAGCAGAGAATTTCTAAATTTAAAAATAAGAAAACAGGGCCAGGGATTTAGTTCAGTGGCACCATGCCTGCCTTGCAAGCACAAGGTCCTGAGTTTGATCCCCAGTACTGCAAAAAAACCACAAAAAAACAAAAAACTTACCAAAAGCCAAATGGAATTTAAATACACAAAAGAATTTAAGTTTATATATGAAAAAACTATAAACTACAAGCTAGAAAACCATTTACAGAAAAGAGTTCTTTTTAGGACCTCAGAGAAGTCAATAAGAAAAAATAACAATATGCTAATAGATAAGTGGATAAAGAATAAGGAACCCCACAAAAAGAACTGTAAGTAGTTAAATAAAACAAAAAATGATCTTATTAGTAATAAAGGACACAAAAATTAAGATAGTATCTATGCCTGTCAGATGAACAATTAAACAAATTAACAATTAAAATTATTTAATGATGGTGTCATATGTCAAGAAAGTTAAAAGTTATCTTTAAGCTTGGCAAGTTAAATGAAAAACTAATATCATACAACTGTGATGGAATCTTTATTGAATGAGATTAAGTTTTCACTACCTGAAAAAAAGTTATAAATAAATTTATACTGATCAAAGGAGAAATTAGCATCATAATATGGTTATATCTATGTAAGAAAATATGCATTAGAAATTCATCGAAATGTAGCTGTCTCTAGATAGCAGAATGTTAGGTGACTTCTGAAAATTAATGCCTTGTATTTGTATAGCAGATGCCTTGTATTTGTATAGCAACAAAATATTTATATAAAATAATAAACCACAAATATAAACTCCCATATTAAGGGACCCTAAGCCTTTTAAGAAGTGATTAACTACTCCATAACAAAAGAAAGTAGCTAAAAATACTATGAGTTTTTGAGCACACTCATGAACTCTAAGCCTCCAGATTTTACTCTTTTCGTCCAAGCCTTAAAAACAACCTAATAATCTACTAGTGACTATATCACCAGAGTAGCACATTTTCTCATTTTTCTTCCTTCTAGAAATAGACATATGCAAGTGAACATATCCTCATGAACATAATGGTTGAGATGGGATAGGCTTGGGAAATCTAGAAAAAGCTCTTTTTGGAATTTGTAAACTCAGAAACTAAAGTTGGATCTGCCTTATGACCATCTTTTCTACTCATTAAGGATACACAAAAACCCAGTGTATAAACCAAACAAACTATTGTAATACAGACGCAAGTAGTTACAATCCACAGGTCTCTAATTCTCTACTTCTATTAAACTGAATGTGAGCTACCCAAAGAATCTCCCAGACCACATAAGGAAGCCTGCAAATCCCCTTATTCCTAAACTAGTTCAAATGAAATTTCTGAGACTGTGAGGATGTAGCTCAGTGGTAGATTGCTTGCCTAGCGCATTCAAGGACCTAGGTTCAAGTATAAGGCGTGTGTGTGTGTATATGTGTGAATTCTGTTATTTGCAATAGAAAGTATAGAACAATACAGCATTAGAAACACCGGATATAAATACCCCCTTGAAATCAAGCAAAAGATACTCTGCCTCTGCCCTTAAATTAGGCAGAATCCTCCAAAATAATAAGATTCAATTTATCTATTTAAAATTATAATTGAATTTTTAGTAATTATTCTATGGAATGATTCTCTGGTTTTAATAATATGCCTCATTTATCCACATTCATTCAGAAGCTTTAAGTGGCATTTAATAGGCAAGCATGTCTCTATCATTCACAGGTTTTAAAAACATAATTATTTCAGGGCTAGGGATTTAGCTCAGTGGTTCTGGCACCTGCCTTGCAAGCTCAGGGTCCCAAGTTCAATCCCCAGTACAAAAGAAAAAAAAAACATAATTATTTCCTACTTATGGTGTCTCATTTCTATTTCTTTCTACCCTCACTCAGCAGCTTATTAAGCAAATCATTCTAGAGCATCTAAGTCAAACATCCCAAGAAATTACAGCTTTATAAAAAAGAAAGATATAAATAACTGTTGTTCTAAAACTTCAAACAAGCTTGAAACAATTTAAATGGGTCAAAGTGGCCCTTTCAGACAAAATCTTTGAGACATCTTGCCCTCATTTAAAAAGAAAAAAAAGACAAAGAGAAAGGAGAGTAGAAAAGAAAAAAGAAAATGCAGGAAGAGTCAAAGATCCAAAGATAAACTTACACTGGAATAAAACAGTGCTGTAACTATATCAGAAAGTTATTAATAATAATTTGATTCTTGGTTGAATAGTAGGCTCATGAGTGTTTATTATATAATTTTTGTAACACACATTACATATAATGTTTTATATGCATATTACTTTTTTAAGTATAAGGAAAAACAGCATGGAAGAAATCTTATTGAAACACATATCCTCAGGTAAGCTTGGATAAAAAATAAATTGCAAAGTTTACTACTTATCCAAACAAAAAAGTTTTCTACAGCACTTCTTCCAGGAAAGTCCGCCCCACACACTCCACAGATCAATCAAACCTGGGAACAGAGTTTAAAACAGTTCTACTACATTGTAAATATTTATGATGTTGAGTTATCAGGATTCATTGAATTTTAGGTACAAGTTTTTCAATGAATTACTAGAACAGGGCATCTGGCAAATAATCCTATTATCCTTTCAGTTTCACATTTTTCATCCAAGAAAAAGTTGCAACACTGAAAAGTTTGTTTTCCCCAGACAAATCCAAAAAGTAATAAGCAGACTAAAGAATGTTTGATATTCAAATCTAAACTTGGACACTAAAAATTTTCCACAAAGCTCCTTTTAACAGTCTCTCCACACCTTCCACGCTTGTTCTAAACCTTCTTTTAGAGGACTCCTGCTTTGAGTTTTTCTCCTCATAGATATATCATACTCAATTGCTGATACTCCTGGCATTTGTGTTCACACTTTAGTCTTTTTGAGTCTTCAGGATCAACACAAAAGACCAGCATGAATTCAGGCTAATTCAGGCCATTACAATGTGCTACATGTCAAGATTTGGCATGCCTTTGCCATCTAAGCAGGATGGATTTTCCATAACACTGAAGACTGATTGCTAACAGAACTAGTTTTATTTCTGTTCTTCTCTATAATCCCTCAGCAAATTGTCATTTAACTTAATTCCATGAATTCCAGTCATACTTCTGCTCCCAGAGAGTGAACTACATATCTAGTACTTACAATCTGATGGACAAGAGCTTTAATGCTATGACTAACTTTTCTATCAAAACCTAGAAATCATACTAGCTTTTCCCCACAGCTTTCTGTACTTGTGCAGTGAATCCAGTTTTTGACATAATTAAAATTAATAATATTTCAAGATTTATATAGGAAATCAGCTCTATAAGACACTGCCCTTAAACTGAGAGCGCTACACAGGATACCTTTTGGAAATTCTTCCACAGTCCCAAG